GGTCCGCTCCCCCAATTTTCCATGTTCTCATGGCGGTAAACTGACCCGGTGACGTATAGTTGTGGATGGGCACCCATCCTTCCCTTCCCTCCAAAGATGTCGAAACCCAGCGAACACTCCTCGATATGGTCCAAGATAACCAGGCATTGATCTCCCAGGAAGTGAGCGAGCGATATGGAGGAAAACTGCCTTTCCTTTTCAAGGTCCTTTCTATTCAAAAGGCTCTCAGTATCCAAGCCCATCCGAATAAGAAACTGGCCGAAAAGCTTCATGCCCGGGACGCCCGAAACTATCCAGGTAACCCCTATAATTATCTCTGACGACAATCGCAACTCTAATCACCATTACATAGATGATAATCACAAACCCGAAATGACGATTGCGATCACCCCGTTTGAAGGACTGTGCGGCTTCCGACCGCTGGCCGAAATCGTTCACTTCCTTAACGCAGTCACTCCTCTCCGCGAGCTTGTCGGCACGCAAGCAGCGAATCAATTCGAGAGTGTTGTCAAGGGCTTCGAAGTCTCGCAAGATTTTGCCCAGATGGCGAAGAACAAGGACGCGCTACGTTCCTTATTCACATCGCTAATGAACTCATCATCGGAAAGCATTGAGGCAGCCACCCAAAAGCTGATCTCCGCGGCTCAGGATTCTCCTGATACATTTGCTACTTCTACCAGCACTCCAGAGACGAATCCGAGCAACCCTGCCGAATTGGCTGCCATCATCGCTCGGCTTAACGGGCAATTCCCTAACGACATTGGGCTATTCGTATTCTTCTTCCTGAATTTTGTTAAGCTGGCACCAGGCGAAGCCATGTTCTTGAAGGCTGACGACATCCATGCATACATCTCTGGAGATATTATTGAATGCATGGCGTCGTCTGACAACGTTGTGCGGGCGGGCTTCACTCCCAAGTTCAAGGATGTTGATACACTCACCGAAATGCTGACATACTCCTATGCGCCAATTGAGGAGCAAAAGCTGGAGCCGACCGATTATCCATATGCCGTCCTCAATGCCTCCGCCTACTCTAGTGGCTCATCGTCTGTTCTCTACGACCCTCCGATTGAAGAATTTAGTGTTGTCAAGACGGATCTAAAGAGGACTGGGGCCAAAGCAACCTTCGACGCACTGGTGGGCCCAAGCATCCTGATATGCACAGGTGGAACTGGGAAGATTACGGTTGGCCACAAGACTGAGGAAGTGAAGGAAGGCTATGTCTTCTTTGTGGGAGCCAACGCCGAGTGTATCGTCGAGAGTACGGGCAGTGGAGAGGAGAATGTGTTCACCACATACAAGGCATTCTGTGATCTGACGGGCAAGGAGGATATGGTGAACGGAAACTAGAATGTATCTATACCTAAGCCATAATGCATTATGGGGGAATATAACATAATTTGTGGATTAGAAGTTCCGAGCCGAGGTCATCTCTTCAGCTGCGGGGGGCTGGCTGAAGCACAGTGGAAGAGCTGTTCCATTCTGCCTATCAGTGCATATGCACTCCACCTGCCCCTTGCTCTGGACAGTCAATCAATTGCCGAATATGCTAGGTTTGTCTACCACTTTCAGCCGGACCACCTAGAAAGCGGGAGAATCGACCCTCAATACTTCAACCTTCCAAGTCCTCTCCACATCCTCTCCCCTCCCATACCACCTTCCCGCACCATGTCGTCCTGGAACCAACCTCTGACCATCTTGCAAAAGGTGCAGGAGGCATGGAACAGTCTGATTGTCATTAAGACCTTCCTTTCTGTCTCCGTTACAGCTGCCTTTCGAGGCAAGAATGGCGCCAAGCAGTACAACGTCCATGTGCTCAATGCCGTGACGCGCAAACTTTGTGTCACCTTCACCCCGAGACAATTGCAGTGCGTTTTAGTCCTCCCTACGACTGGGCACTGCCTGCTAACTGCCATCTTAGGCTCCGGGATATTCCCACCGAGGAAGCATACAGACAGTTCATGGCCAGCCGAGGCCTCCAGCCGCAGACTGTGCCTCTTAATCACGGCGCCAAAGGCCACTGGATTGGCAACAAAACCGCCAAAAATGTCCTCGTCTATTACAACGGTGAATGATTGGCGTCTTCTGTTTTCTCTCCTGAATCCAAAATTATTCTCCAATTGTACCCATACTAATCCAGCTACCTAGGAGGCGGATTCTTTCTCTTTCGTCGCCCACAACATTACCAGCTACTAGCACATATGCTCGACCGCCTGAACGAAGCTGGCCATGACAACCTTGCTATCTTCTTCCTCACCTACACTACTACGCCGCACGCCGTTTATCCGGTACAACTCCGCCAATCGGTCGAGGCTCTCCGTTACATCCTCACCGAGACAGGTCGTTCCCCAGCTAACATCTTCTTGGGTGGTGATTCCGCTGGTGGTAACTTCTCTCTCGCTGTGCTCTTGCATCTCACCCATCCACACCCAGAGATCGAGCCTCTAATGATCTCCCAGCCCTTGGCTGGTGTAATTGGCTGCGCGCCGTGGGTTAGTTATAAGTTGGACGGCCCTAGTGTCCATGAAAACGCATACAAGGATGCCCTCTCTAAAGAGATCCTCGACCGTTGGTCTGATCAGTACCTTTCGGGTAAAGAGGGTGATCCCTGGAGTGAACCAGCTAGAGCCCCCATGGATTGGTGGGAGGGAATACAAGCAAAAGATGTCTTGATGACCGCTGGAAGAGATGAGATTTTGCTCTCTTCTATTGATGAGTTTGTGGAGAGGTTCAAGGTTCGTTCATCAGTTCTCGTTCCCTTATTGGCTGTTTCCACGTTCCGTTTGCACCTGTCGCAGTTCCTGCTTCAATTCCTTCCCACATTCCAAGTTATAGTGCACAGCTGATACTTGATCGCTATAAACAGAAAGTCGTACCCAATACTGTTTACGTTGTGGGACAGGATGAAACCCATGACTCGGCTGTCTATGCTGCCGATGTAGTTGGCTACGATACTCAGCAGACTCAGGCGATCGTTAATTGGCTAGGTGCTCGACTATAAGATCGATTAGTAGTGTCAGTTGTCTGGTAGGTAGGTGATACACTATTACTTGTACGATAGGGATTGAAGTGTCCCATTGCTGGCCAGTCCCCTTCTCTTGCTTTTGGTCGCTTTCCCTGTGGTGTTTCAGGTAACATGTGTGTAGTCACTGGCTAGAATAGGCGACATAGCACCACACGATATAGACGTAATTAAATTATACCAGCCTGTAAATCTAATTCCCCACCTATATGACAATACACGGGAATAGAGCAAGTACAGACTAGACAGGTAAAGTAGGATAAGGAAGGAAGCATTCGCTGGACAATAACTAGATTACACATAGCTACGCCGTCGTATCAATTCATAATCGGAAACAATATCACGCCCAGGGAGCAAGAAGAGGGAGTACAAAATGGAGATCAAGAAACAAAAGCAATGCAAGTAGCAGAGAAGTAAACAACGGATATCCTAGATCAAGCCGACACTCTGGGAGCATATTTCGCAGCCGCGGTATCGAACAATTCACTCTTTGCTTGAAGATCGGAGAGCAGGGGATGCGTGGGGTTGATCTGTTCGAGGCGCCTATAGTAAGTGCAACGCATGAGTTAGCTACACATTCGTCCAAGGATCAACTACGAGGGGTATAGGGAATGAACGTACTGCTCCAACTCCTCCGAAGGCTTGCCAGCCAAGACGTTCAAAACAACAGAGTTGGCGATCAATTCCGCCTCGTCGGGGTACTGCTGCAGCGCCGCAGTCAAGGCGGCCTCGGCCTCAGGCAACCGACCGAGATGGAGTTCAGCCACGGCTTGACCGACGATAGAAAGGGGCGCGGAGGTGCTAGGAGCGGAAGCCAATTCCTCGTAGACGTAGAACGCAGCCTGGTATTTCTCGCCGCCCTAAAAGCCGAAGCACAAAGCAAATTAGTTTTCATCGCTCAACCTCAAACAACAAATATTAGAGCAAATAGCAGCATGCACTGCATCCGGGTAAACCACATACAACTCTCATTCCAACCCACGACTCAGCCAAGTTGACCAGAAGGGAATCCTGCGCCCAGCGCTTCGCAGCCTGAACCTCCTTCAAGGCGAGATCAGAGCGGTTCTGCTGAAGATGAATCTGAACGATCAAGGCCACACTAAATTATCGTCCATTAGCTTTCCCGACTTCCAGTCATCATCATCCAGACAAGTGCACACGTCGGGGCTGAAGGCCGAAACTCACGCCTCGAGGTTCCCCTGATGCTTGGTCAACAAAGCCAACGCATCCTCACTTTGTCCCTGAGCCTGCAGCAACGTGCCGCACAGAACCTGTACAGTAGCATTGTCGGGGTAATTCTCTGCGAGGTCCTGAGTCAGCTTCAATGCCGATTCAGCATCTCCGGTCGACTGCTGGGCCAGCGCTTTCACGGCCGCAAGATCGGGGGTTTCTTCCTCGCCTTCGACATCGGCGAGAACTTCGTCTGTTTGGCCTAGGGCGATCTTGGCGCGAAGCTGGAGGACACGGGCGGGGAGTTGGTTCTCGGGGGATAGAGCGGAGGTGTCGAATTCGATTACGGCTTGGTATTGGCCTTGGTGGAAGGCATTGTGAATGTTGATCAGCTCTGTTATGGGGGGAATATGAGGCATGTTAGTTAGTGCTTGAGGTCATGGGGGGAGATTGTGTATTTGTGATCGCTCAATGGACAAAACGTACCACCCTCAGCAGAGAAAGGATCCATTGCGGCGGTTAAAAGGAGAAATTGAGGAGGATTGAATTAAAGAGTAATGAATGGTTTGGGGGAGTATAGTTAGGCTTGGGATGGCCATCCGCGGAGGCGGAAGTCGTCACGTTGCCTTTACCGCGGGCGGTGGGAGGCGGGTGGCCCACATTGGGGCAGGTTGGCCGGTGATGAAGGATATCTATACGGCATGACTGGCATTCAGAGATCATATCAGCCCTGAAGCCATGACGCCTCTACTGTTAAAGGCAATGAATCTTATGCATACTAACTACGAGAAGGAATAGTTGGAGAAAATATAAGCCAAGCTTGGGTAAAGGCCCGGAATTGAAGCAAAAGCGTCCCAGCCGCGATTTCATATTAACACACAGAAGTACAAGATGTAAACAACAGACCTGTCATGGGCTAGGATCTCTTCCGGATACTCTAGCGACAGTGGACCAAACCATGATAACCAGCTTCCTCAAGAGGCCTCAAACCTCGCTTCATAATGCATTGATCCCCCGCCAGTGATGCCGAATGATGCAACCGTTTCCTCGGTGACTCCCTCTTCCCTGAGTATGCGACCCCGATGCAACGACAATTGATATCTGAAATGACACATCGGATCCAAAGAAAACCCCCGAGACAGATGCTGAGTAAAATGGACATGCAAGCAAAACAGTAGTGAGAATGGAAAACGGGTCTGCAATGATAATCACACAGCCATGCAACGCATAAAAGCAACACAAAAACGTCCAAATTAAAAGGGTATCGCGGATAAATCAAGGCACTCCAGTGCCAACACAGACATACAGACGCACACACACAAGAGCTAGAACACTAGTAAATAATACCATGAACTCGCCTTCTCGGGACTTCGGAATCGTCCATGCGTCGCCCCAGATAGATAACAAAAGGTAAAATTCGAAGATGTGAGGTCATGCTTTCCATGTGAGCCCGCCTGTGGCTTCCGTTTTGCGACCTTGATGCGCCTCAGGCTCCCATAAGACATCAGGAGAGGATAAAAAAGAAAATGCAAAAAGATGCAGCCAAAGCTGACAGAACGCCAATCCCATACTTGCACATGAATGGAAACAAAATATCACAGCGTGATAGCGAAAGGAGATGTAGATGAACCCAAAGGGTATAGGGAAGAGTAGAAGGAGTGAAAATGACTTCACACTATGCTTAAGTCTCCTTGGATGGGTGCTAAGGAGGCAGCGAAGACGTAGATGCCGCTGACACTGTCGGCGTCAAAGTCGGGGATGTAGGAGAATGGTTGTCCTCTGAGCTGATCGGGATCTCACTACCCTTATCGGAGAAAGCCTCCTTCTCCCGTTCAGTGGATGACGAGCGCTTGAACACGGTTTGACCGATTTGACGGAGAATACCCAATCGCTCAGCACGGAGTTCCTCGGTATCGGGTCGTTCAATGGAGGCGGGAGTGATACCATCTTTGGTAATCTTGCAAAACAGGGTTGAGAAGAGATATTGGTCGCCGCCTGCATCATACAAAGGCAGATAGCGGTAGCCTTGAGAAAGGCTGGTGAGTTTGGCAGTAAAGGTAGCCAACTGAAGACTGCTGTTGTTTCCTGCACTGCGGCCATCCAGCGAGCTCCAGACCGTCCAGCGGACAAACACGAGGTCCGGATACTTCGTTTCCAGCGCAAACTTGAAGCAATCATTGAAGATGGGGCTATACCCATTGCTCTGCTCGATTTTTGTGCGCCGACGGTGCGGATAGCCAATACCTGACACGCCACTCCGCGCCGAAGCGTTTAGACCACCTTCCCCAATGACAAAACTCTGGCCTCGATCATCGGCACTGAATATCTCAACCTCTACGTACGGATTGATATTATCGTCCGGTCCAAGGCTGCGAGGCCGCGGTAGTTGCTGGGCAGAGATGACTTCGATAGTAAAGTTGACGCGTTTCCGCCCCGTGCTCTTCCATTTATCTTCGCCAGGAGTCACTGTGCGAAGAGATTCGGGCTTGAGTACGTAGCCTGTGCGATCAGTTCCGGCGGCAAACATGGCTTGATTCAACTGCATTCCAACATCGTAGGTTTGCCAGTTCAAAGCGGCCATCTGCACTCCGCGACGCCAGAATTTGAGGGGATCGAAGTTAGAGGACCTCAGACGGAAGCCAGACGGATAGACCCTCGTCAAATACTTTCGGTTGTGCTTCTCGAAGACCGCTTTGCTATCTGAATCACGGCAGATACTCTCGAAGGAACGCTCTGCGAACGAATACACATGATTATACCGCTGGCTTTCCGCGGACGTGAAGCTATGCCATTTGTAGCCCCGAGTATATACTCCCAAGTCCGATAAGGGCTTGGTGATCTTGCTCTTCTGGCGTCGTTTCCGTTCCCTTTTCATGGACGTCAATGCGCCATCACTGTCTTCCGTGGCGCTGCTTAAGCTGGTGGTCGTGAATGATCGTCTGTCTTGGGAAAGGAAAGTATCGACACTATCCTGGCCAGCCGTGGAAGACCCAGCAAGAGGAACAAGGTTGGAAATTGGAGGGTACTCGGGCACCGTCGGTTGCATAAAGGGGGAGCTTGAGCTGCGCTTTCGACCGACACTAATCAACGAACCCGACGATTCTTGTCGCATACCACCCTCTGTTTCATCGCAAGTTTTGACTTTCACAAGGATGCGACGCTTCAATTCCTCGGGCGATGGAAGGACGAAGGTGTTTGTAAGAAGTGGCTCCAAGACTAGTTGGTCTTTAAAGGTCTCCTTCATGATTTTCACCATGGCTAGTTGTTGCTCGGGATTGCAGTGAACTTCGAGAGAGAGGATAAGGGGGAAGTCTGTGCTGATGAATGCGTATCGGTTGATGACAGTAATGCAATCGGCGAACAGGACGCTGGTGGTCATGGTCCTTCCGTGAGAGACAATGGGTCGGCCATCAGCTCCGTCCCAGCAGTCGATTTCCACACAACGACACCCTTGGGACAGAGCGCTGATGTATGCCTCAGTGCTGGATGCACCAGCAACCTGGCGACCCAGGAGATACGTATTGTGAGAGCTGGAGATGAAGTATTCGTTTAATGGGCGATCAAACCTGGACTGGGGGGCGCGGGAGGCGTAGACCCCATTCCAGGAAGAAGATAGAAACGAGGTGAAGGCATCGAGGCCCAGACGCGGAACCACAGTAGGCCTTCCGTCCGAGTGCTCTGGAAGACTGGGTGCACGGGGTCTCGATTTGCGCACAAGCCGATCAAAGATAGATATCCAGTAGCTTCGGTCAGACTCGACATCTTCATTCTGCACATCACGAAGAAATGCCAGGAATTCTTCCAAAGTAAAGCCTTCAAAACTGACAGCGCGCTCTTTGAAGATAGCTTTGACATCTTTCCGCTCCTTCAAACGAGCAACAAAGTCACTGAACTCGGAAAAAAATAACTTGCCCTTGTTGTTATTGTCCGCCTTGGAGAATTGAGCACGGAGCATATTTCTGGAGCAGTTGATGTGCAAGCTGCGGCATACACTCTCAACCGCCTCAAAATCCAGGCTCTCGAGTTCGTCGGGCTTTAGACCCTTTGGATATAGTCTGGACATCTCACGCTGCCAATGGGCTTTCAAGACCGCTTCGCTCTGGCCAGAACCAGCTAGGCCAGCCATAAGACCAATTCTATAGCGTGAAATGTGTTCGAGGGTTGTCGTAAAGAGTTCAAAGGTATAATCACTAGGCGCAATCAGGTGCAGAGTCTTGACAGCCCGTCCCTTCAATCGTTCTGCATCGGCGATGACAATGGTGAACCATTTGCTTTCCAAATCCTGTGAAACCTGATGTTCCTCACGATAATTGCGAGCATCGACACCCACTCGGACCTCCTTGATGTCATCTATATAAAACCGTTTCGTCGGGTTCGAAAGATCCCAGTAAACTTTCCCAGCGTCGATGTCGAAAAAGAAGCGCACTTGCTTCCGTCGTTTCTTGGTGACTTTTGTGAGGACTGTGCCACGCTGAATCACCGCATCAAGCTTCGGTGCAACTGCACTAACGATGCGAGTAGGAGGAATGAAACTCTCATTCTGCAAGCTAGAAGCCTCGGAGCCACACCAGACCCCAAGAGAGTCCAGAGCATCGTTGCTGTCTTCTTCATTACTGGACTCAAGCGCACTTTCCCAGCTATTTTGTCCAGTTTTGCTGTCACTCCGTCTGCGCATGATAACGGGACCGGAGCTACGGTCCCGCTTATCATTCTGCGTCGCGGATTGCCGCCTCCGAGTGAGCTTGTTGGCTGCCCCTCGAGAGATTCTGCGCATCAATCCTGGGCTTTTGTTTGTCGTTTGGGTTGCCGCATCTCCCGAGCCGGAAGCACTAGCATTCCCAGGAACAGCCATAATTGAATCTCCAAGCTCTAGATGCGCTGGGGGGATCAGAGGGAATGAGGGTATTCGACCACGGAGCGCGTCAGTAGCTGATTGCAGAGGGGTGCCTGAAGGGCTCGAAGCATTTGAGAAGGTATGCGAAGGACGTAAAGCGTTAGGTGTGTATGAGTATATGGAGGCACAGGGCGGAGCGGAGGAGGGATTGGGGGCGGGGGGAACAGATGTGTTGACATTATGTAGTTTTGGAGGTTTCGGGAGTGAGCCAGTGACTTTTAAACTTGCTTGGGTGTCGCCATTTATGGTTGAAGGCGACGAAGCGGCGGCGTAAGCCATTGCGGATACCTGCCAGACGTAGCACCCGGCTGCAAAACGTGAGACTGTAGACCTGTCGTGAACCGTGCCAAAGCTGGAGTCACCTGGACTCTTCAGGGGACGAATGAACAGCGACGTGCAGTAACTAGGCGGCTGTGTTGACCCTGATATGGTGGCCTATAGCAGGAATGCAATACGAGCCAAAAAGGGGATCGTGTCTGGCTGAGCGATGCAAAAGCCACTTGCTTAGCGGGATTGCTCTGTCTTTGATATCTGCATCTTGGCCTGCCTCTGATGCAATGCGGAGAGCCCTGCCGGAGAGCGCTCGCGAGAGTACGGGATCCGGGTTCCTGATAACAATTGAGACAGACACTGGCTTTGTGTAACAATGGCACAGCGCGGGTGGGGGGGAAGGCTCTTTGATCGCTTGTCTTGTCGTCAACCCAAGTAAAGCCAAAAGTGATAAATGACTTGGCGCCCTCAGCCTTGGTCTCCAATTATTTTTTTTCCCGGAACTGATTTTCGTCAGGTTTTCCTGATATGATCTGATTTGCCCGCGTTGTATCCTATTCTGGTGCCCTAATTTTACCCCTCCTCAGTTGGCGGATCTCCTAGTACGCGGGGAAAGCTGTCCCTCTGCAGCAAATATGCGAGGACGTGTGGAGCTCGAACCAATTGGCCGTGGTTGGTGCCGGCGGTTGAGGTTCTTTTCCGGTGCGAGGCAGGAGGACCGAGGGACGCTCCAAGGCGAGTATTGAAAGGTAATGGGAACAGAAATTGGTGAGCGAAATAATGCAAGTCAATAGCCGTGTGCGCCGCGCATGTGCTTAGCTGTCAGCAGAGCCCCTCCGAACGTAGCTTCTACAGACGCCAAAAGGTGTGTATGTGTGTGCGTGGCTGTAAAGGTAAAAAAAAAATTATTGTTGGAATTGAGCAGGGAAATTCGGCTTCGCGTCGATTGGCGTCACTCGCCGGCCGGAGACTAGAGGAAAGCTGCGCAAGAAGGGAAAATCGGCGACGAGGATCGGGAGAGGAAATGCAGGATTGCCTGCCAACGCAGTGATGCAGGTGGTCCAAAGGGGAAGGGTGATAATTTGAGCAATCGGAGATTGGACCGACAAGAGTAATCGTGAGGGTCGCGATTGTCTAGTGTGGTCCGATATGTAGCTTTTCCAGTTTGCTGCACGGTTACGTGGAGTGTAGTAGAGGACCTGCAGCGAAAGGCGCCAGGATGTGTGAGTAAGAGAGTTGATCATGCGACGGAGGAAACAGTGCCAGCGTTATCCTTCGCCCGAGAGAGAAATTGGGATCTCCACTTGCGGAAGTCGAGGGAGCGAAGATGTCTGGAGTAAAGAGTGTCAACAAAATGCTGGGGAGAGGGGGGAAGTCTTGGTGTTCGCCCTCTTAAGAGTCTCCCATCCAGGCGAATGCGGTGTCGTACAGCCAGACAAGGGAGAAGTTCGGAGGGAAGGATTTTGGAAGTCGATTTCGAAGAAACCGATGGATGTTTCAATTGAAAGAAAGCTGGAGTGGGTACTTACTGACGTACTCCGTACCTGTGGTTTGGTAAGGTACGTATTTGCGTATTGTCAACTGGGAAAATTTCTGGTTACGAAACTCCCACGCGTCTGCCCCTCGTCATGTAATCAGGTTAGAACCGTTTCCCACCCCACGTCAGACCAAGCCCAAAGATGGTAATCGGTATTCGGATACGGAGCAGTAGGGAACACTCTTCTAGCCTACCTGCGGGACCCGCACCGCAAAAGTAATCTGGGAAGCCAAGTCCTGAATGTCTTAGGAAGGTCTGAAAAAAACGCGGGCACCAATTCTCTGGTACCAATGAAAAAGCTCAGGTAATGATGATATAAGATTAGGATAATGATGATGGTGGTGGACGGCAGTGATGATAACAGAGGCGTTTTTTTTTTTTGTTGCGTTCTTGATATGCGTCTAGGCCCCTGTGAAAACTGCGCAATGTCTTCTCCAGGGAAAAGTAAAGAATTCTCTGTCAAGCAGACCCAGGAGTACTACTTAGTGATAACAGCAATGAAGTAGCCAAAAGGAAGAAATTCCAAGTCCTATATACTGTTGGCTAAGGACCAGGAAAGGGATAGAAAGTATTATTAACCTTTAGTTCGGGTATGCCAATAAGGTAGTCTAATCAAACTGGGCCGTCATTGCTGGGCACCTGCTCCAAGATCAAAGTCAGTTAACGGGTGAGCTGTCCAGGAAGCATAGCAACGGCAGCCCAAGCGATTATGAGACTAGCCGCGATCATGAGATCCTATGAGGCTCCTCCAATCTACCCTCTGTCCTTCCTTCCGTCCTTCTACGAAGACTGATTGGCAGTCAGAGAATCATTGGGAAATACAGTAGCTGCTAACCTTTCTTTTCCCATTTTTTCCATTTCCTTTCTTTTTCCAACTTATTTCAATAGTGCCCTTTTCTGTTTTCCTTTCCCTTTCCGGTTCTCCCAACGTTCGACCTCCCTACATTATCTATCCACGTCCTTTATTATCTGGGCAGCATAGCATCTAAGTCGGTAGATTTGTTACGGAGGACTCCATATAGTATTTGAACACGAGGATTTTGCTCTTCATCCACAATTGGTAAGATGCCCAGAAGCTGTTCGCTCCACTTCCTACAGTAAATCCTACTCCTGGAGATCTGTAGTAGGCAGTGGCACAGTGAACGGACATGATCTATTGGATGATCATCTCCTTGTCGATGATGGTATCACTGTCAATCGTGGGGGAGCAGAGAAGCTGATAGGTATGTTGTTTCACCTTTTTCGGGAGGGGGGCGGATTGGGGGGAAATGGTTAGTTAGACAAGGCAGAAAAGGGAAGAAAAAGGGGAAGGCGAACAGAGAACATCAGTTGCTATGGAAGGTTGGTGGATACAATCAATCCCCTCCTCAATTTCACCCCCCATAGCTAACAGTACGTAGTTGTAACGAGCTCTTTCTCAAGGCAAGAAGGTTAGCTTCCCCACGGATAATCCGTCCTGCATACACGGATACTCGGTACGGAGTACGGAGTTATCCACGTATCTGCCATCACTACGCGGGAGCAGGAGAATCCGAAGCATGCCTGACTGTCGATCCGCAAACACTATTACCGTGTTATCACCATTATTGATGTTACAGATCCTTCTTGAGGCACCGGCACGGCGGTCCCTGGGGAGATATGTGGATCTTGGATTCCCGCCCGCTGGGGTCTCCCTTCGTTTCCCGTTTCTGGGTTTTGATGCCAACCTGCCTTATCCCTGTCGCCCGACTTTTCTCCAAAAAGCCAAAGAATACGACTGGACTATTGTAGAGACTGCATGCAGTAGCAAGGCCCCCTTCCCCAGGACGCTAGTTGCATGTACGACCGTGAAAAAGGATTGGGCTCTTCCGACAATCGGGGGATTGTCACCTGATGCATTCCGACTAGGGATGTGCAGACCGCCTAAAACTTAAATACTATTTTTTGCTGGCAATAGTTGTCCCTGTCCCGTTTCGTCATAGTGCCCTTTAATTTCCCATGAGATGCAATCATGTTTCTTTCCCTCTTAAGTGTCGCCAGGGAAGGGGGAGGGTGGGTAAAATTGGGAGAAAAGGAAAAGAAAAACAAAATTACGGAGAAAAGGAAGATAAGGGAGTTGTGCAAAATAATTGCTGGTGCCGCTTTATCCTTACTCGACATTACTGTGGAGCTTGCGAGTGGTTCACTCGCATTTCTAGGTTCGTAGTTGGTACAAGAATGCGAGCGCAAGTGAGAGAGGGGTGAGGGGCGGTAATCTGTCGGTAAATTAATCAAACAACAAGAGATTTTCGATTGAGTCATCCCAACCCTGTCTTCATCTCAACGCGGGGGAGAAACGCGGCTAGTACCGTCGTAGTAATATTACACGCGTGTTTGCAAAGCTGAGGCTGAGGAAAAGAGTGGCAGTGAAACCAGTCGGGGCGGTGCGGAAAGGGGGAAGGGGCCGGAAAGTGGAAACGCAGCACAGGATGAATGAACTTGCCCAGAAACTGCCAGTCCTCCATCCCACGGTAAGAGATTGGAAGGTATCCATGATGCTTCCATGTAACCTGACAGGGATACGAATCGACACAAAATGAATCACGTATTTCTCATTCTTTACGGTCTGCCCCATACTCATGAATGCTTGCAAGCCCGTGGTGCATGTAGTATTTTGGGCAAAACTCTTCAGCACATTCGCCCCAAGCTATCTAAAAGTCATTGGCCATTGGTAGCGCGCCCATGCACCACCCAGAGCAATGCTTGGAGTTCCTCATGGCAAACGCCGCTTTTGGACTACGACACCTTGATACCCAAGGTAGTACCAAGGCGGCAACAGCAGGAGGATGAAGAAGCGGTCAAAGAGCCTCTCCAACTCTTTCGTCGCGGATAGAAGCAACAAAGACGATAGGCAGCTTATGGTGAAGGCCGTGAAGGGGGGTAATAATATCACGGGTTCATCCAAACAGAATTCACCCAATGTGGATCTTACTTTCGAATCCATTTCTTCTCTCTCCAGTATCTGCCCTATGACACCATAGATCTGGTTTTTCCGTGGCTCCAGCTCCGGTCGCTCCAATTTCAATGACTTAGGCGAAGTAGTAGACTCTTAATAGACACTAGCAGATCAAACTACAGGCACTATGTACCACCTACCTACCAAGGTATTGACCGGACGCTGCATGGCTGCCCCTACATGTTAATGGACTGCTTATTATTCTTGGTCAGGATAATCGGTGGTGATGAAACTGCCAATTACGCAGTAGCCCGTTTGCTCATTCTTGATGGAAGGCAACCGTGAATAGTAAGCTGCGGGGCGTTTTCCCAACCCCGCACAAAGCTGAGCCATTTTGCTGAGTTGGCGATGCTGCTATCGTCGTCCTATCAACTAACCATCTGCCAATTCAGGTTTCTTACACTCCTTCTTTCTTTGGCCCTGCCACTGAATGGTGGACTCGCGTTCTGACCACCGCGTCTTGAATCTAAAAAAGCATTTCTCCGCTCGTCTCAGAACATTCCGGATTGGCCACAAAGGATCATTTGCATGTCATCAGTAGAGCCGTTATACGGCCGACTAGATGCAAGCAAGTGGCATTGTCATATATTCTAGGGATGCACATCTGCCAGGATAATATCCAGCATGGAGATACAGTCTCTCGGCCTGAGCATTTACTGCCGATAATGAAGCAGATGAGGGCCTATTCACATCTATTACGATCAAATAGACTATCATGAGCTACCTTGCAACCACAAGCGTATATCGGCCGGGCCGTCCGCGGATTACCTAGCCTTTCCTGAACTAGGAAATTTAACCCTCCAATGATGGAGGCTCCGGTGATGCAAATGACCATGTGCTTTGGCAGGGTGTCAACGCTCTTGTATCCTACCGGAGGAGGGTGTAGGTTTCGAGCAGGTAATCATCTTGAGAGCCACGATATCAAATCCCGATCTTGCTCCGACCGATCCGTCCTAGATTGGTCGCGGCTGTGGCGGAAATATTCCTTTGTGATCACGGGACACCTAATCGGTTTCAAACGAACGGTTTCCAGCTGACGACGCAAGGTGGTATGCGCCCTTGATAATCAGCAAAGTTCATAGGCTACCCCAATCATGCAAAGATAGCCGCGAAAGAGCGCTGAACTTTCTTGATAAGGGGAGATTGCAACTTTCTCAAAGTAGCGTCTGATTAGGTAGCTGAGTAACTGCAGTGCGTGCTTGGAAGATATTCAAACCATCATGGTGCATTCTGTATGCATGCACATACAATAGGCAGTTAGTGGGCTGTATTGAAATCCAAGACCCTCCCGTTTGCAGACGCCGATGCTGCTGATCAGAAAGAGGGGAAGCTGAAGGATGACCCATGCTTTAGGTTATCGCCGTCTCGCGTGCATTGATGATTCTGACCGCTTCCTCTTCCCTGGGTTTCCTTCTGAACTAGGTGACTATGGATCAGGCAATCACCACCGACTATGGCTGAAACATGGAATCCAATCAAGCTGGCGGTGTCTATCAACTTGACGATCCATAGCGGGGGATGGGTTAGTTCATGGCGCGAAAAATGACGCATCGAACGGAAGCCGGTGAAGGAGGGGAGTGGATTAGTCAAGTTAGTTGACAGCTGCCAAAGATATGAGAATGGGCTATGTATTACTTCAAATGTATGTTTACTGACTACTCTGGACTGTTTGACTGCCCACGCACGTATTATAGTAGTCACACATATCCTCATACTAGTGAAGTAGAATTTTTTCAGTTCCTCTGCTACCCAAGATTCATTCCTTGTTTGTGTTTGTAGGTCATAGAGGGAAAAGTACGAATTCAGGGTATCGCCTAGGAAGCTAACTATCTACAATCATTAGCCAGACAGAACAACATGCTGACTAGTGCTGATTCCGTACATATTTCATGTCCAGCGCTCTAACCTAATTTTATTGAGTAGGTACTGCCAGTTGGGTGCTAAATGCGGTTGAAGGTGGGGTGAGTGCTCATGTGTTCACACGTGCAGACCTCATAGAGATATTATTGGTTCATAAGAAACATTATCGCATGCCAAACTGTCAACCACTACTTACTACTATAGTACTTCCTAGATACTACCTGAATTTATTCACTGCCAGAAGGTACGATGCTCCACCTCTGCTTGCCAAACGAAGGTCCCACACTCCAAGAAGAAACGATGATAAAAAGAAAGGTTACCCGCTTGTAGCCAGCAGTGTTTCCGTGCTTGCGCATGATTAGCAATTACTTACATTCAGGCAGTCGCACTGCACATAATTCTCTATGAAAGGCATACTTATTTGCGTACTTATGCAGCGACAGGGGTACCGGACAACCATTGCTAACATCCGAAATTGAGCCTTCAAATACGTGCGGCCTAGTCATGACTTTGGTAGTTTTACACTGCTACTATAACTTGACGTAGTACCTACTAGTGACTAGTCCATGCAGACTGCTTTCTGTCCAAAAAGGCAAACTCGGCAACTGGCCGGGGGAGGGAGGGGGGGAAGAATCATACCTACTGGGCAACCAACTTCACAGGGATGATGCCAAGCAGCCACTGTGATTGGGTAATATCACTGCCTCGTGGGGCTGTTTCCAAACGGCGACCCACTCTTGACAGGCTTCCAAGCCTTCGATTGCGGTTTCCTTTCGCTCAGGATCTCGCACCCGAGAACTCCTTGCTACGATCACACAGGCTGCTGATGCAGTGTGAAGTGACCCTTGCTACCCCTTATGCTTATGTTTTACTGCACTAGACTGGAGGGTATGGTGGCCGTTTTCAGCCGTACTAACAAAGGAAGTGTGGTTATTATCACGATGTCGAGTAGTGACCGACTAGTAGCCTCCCTAAACCCCCCCCTTTACGCCAAAAGCAGGATCTAGTTGATGTAATGCAATCCTCTTAGAGCCTTGACTGAAATCAAAGCATCTGTGCACATATTACTTCGTAGATCCTTACTAATACTAATGAGGGAGCAGCACAGTAAATACGCTACAATTTGTCACTGGTCAGATTCTTAATTTACGCAAGGAACCGGGTGAAACGATGACATCATAGTACTGACGGCTAGTCGAAGACGTGCGCCAGAACAGCTTTATCGAGTCGGTCAAATAAGGGGGATAAAGGCGCAGGAGCTCAATGTTATAAGCAATTCTGAGATATACACTTGTAAATTCTTGAGGAAATTCTTAAAAAGAAAGGCTGAGCGGTGATTGAAACACAGAGTCAAATGGGAATTTCAAGGGCTGATCATGTTTCCGCCTTGCCGGTGCTACAGTATTCCGGTTTCTTTTCTCGTACAGGTATTAGTTATGGCTCGTTTGTACTGAATTATTCATACCCTGGTTGCCCTACTCATCCTACGGGAAGGGCATGTCCCATCCATAGCCCGCGATTCATATCGTCAGACCAGAGGTCCCTTGTTAGTTTTCCTCTCCTTTTACGTCCTTCTGCCAAAACCCTAAGGGACCTCGTCTAAACCTTCTAATTCTGTGGTACAATATGTCACGAAGATATTATCACTTATATTGTAGCACTGAGGAAGCCCGAAGAGCGTTTTGCAAAATATTCATGATTGATTTTATTCAGAGGAGAACTCGTTACCTGCCATCCATGTTATCTATCACGTTGGAAATGTGGTAAGGTATTCGGTTGCTGTGGCCGGCTGCAGTATTTAGACTGGGTACCCAAAGTAACTAACGTCAATGTCTGTCCTGAAGTTCAAAGAGAAGGCGGCCGAGAGAGCCGTTCCCAACTGAGTGGAACGTTGCGCCCCCTATACCGGGGTCTTGCCATGATGTGCCGTAATGATTTCCGTGGCTGGTTAATAACAGATGATGCTGGTATTACCGCTCTTTATTGAAAAATACTGCTGCTCGTTACGAGCTCTCATACACTCAAAATACAATCTATTACATAGAGCATCATCATTAGTAACAACCACAGTACCTTGAGAATTTTGACTTTGGCATAGTGAGTCTTGCCATACCTTAATCCGTCTTCGGCCTCTTTTCTATTTTTTCCCTGAAACTCTAAACTTAATAAACCTGTCGCCTGCCCCAGGACACCTGTAGAACGAGGCTGCATATCCTGTGCGGCCATCGTTGTAGGTATTGGGGGGCAGGCAAGGCTATACTAACAAGTAGTTAGCGATAGAGGGGGTAAGATGCAACTCCTTTACTTTCTGTAGGAGTGGAAACCGTCTGAGCTGAGCCTCGTCGAGCCTGTTCCTTCGATGCGTCTTCGATGCTTCAACCTTCTTCGGTCTTTCCAATCCCCGGTCGCACGGCGCATGCTGCATGGTGTCATTCGGCCAACGCCTCGGTCTTGATCCCAACAATGCCGCTATCCGGCTCTGCTATGGATAATCCTTCCTATCAGCCAGCCAACCAGCCAGATAACGTGCTGTGGCTTGCTGATAGTCGAATGATTCCTTCCAATTGACTATACAGCACGCACGGGCAAAGGCCCTCCCTCTACTGCCAATTCCATTCAGTATCGATTATGAAGCCTCGTGACTGTCGATAGTTTGGTTTCTTTTTCTCTTTCTCCTCCGTCCTTCTCTCCTCAAATCTCAGCCACCGATCGTATCAGCACCGCATTGGGATATAGTTCTTTTCTGGCTGCCTTGATGCACCAGGTCTGAGTCCCGTCGCTTAAGCATACCAGCAGCGGGTACACTCCTGCGTCTGGGGAGAAAGTTAGAAACATCGCTTGTGACATAGGCTACCAATGCAACTTTTTTTAGTCGGACCGGACCCCAATCATTTCTGAGACATTCTGACTTGGCACCCTCGATTCGAATGAATGGGGATCTTGCCCGGTAATCTGCGTGCCGTACAAAATACCCGGGTCAAGTGGGTTGAGGCAACAATTATTCTTGCGTAGTGCTAAAGAAGACCCTAGTCCAGGTCCCTGGCCCCAAATTGAGGCTGCTACTACTAATGGCATCGGCCGATTCGGCCCACTGCAGTGGCAATACGACTTCTCAACCAACAGACTTGTTCGACCGGAAATCTGAATTCAATGGCTTGGAGGACTACTACTAAACGGGCTTAGCCCCAACTGCTAACTTCTACTAGGTACTTTACTATCTGTTGTGTCAATTCATCGCGATAATCCAGATATTGGGACCAGGGACGATGTATCAAAATATCATTGCGGTCATCTGAATGGTCTTGCTCGACTGAGTCGATTGTGTCTTTGATACTGCCGCGACCTCACAGTTTGCACTTGACGACCATGGCTGTTCAATCATGGAATCACACTGTTACTCCTCTATACCTCCCAAATACACGCGGGACAGCATGGCCTTCGTGTATGAACCGCATCAAGTATTGCAGAGGGTCGCTTTGCATAGTTACTGAACAATGAAGACGTTCCTGTTCTGTTTCGCATTCGTGTGCGATATACAGAGGCATATCTTACAATTCCAGGCACCCCCGCAACAAGGCCCTAGAGAAATTCCAGGAGGGAGCATTCCATATGAAATACTGATTGCTTTGTAGTGATATTATGGATGCATGCAGATGCCTGATCGCCGTCACTGGAAACCAGACGCTTAAGAAATGAAAAAAAGGCGTCCCACCTAATCCCTGACTCACCTTAAACTCCTCGGTGAGCCCAATGCTTCGGTGAAGTTGAATCTGTTTTCTTTTCTGGGGGGTAACGACTCTAAAGTACTGCTCTTGCTTGCCATTCAGACTCCCCCTTTGACTCTCGCATCCTGCTTTCCAACACGACATAGCGATCATGAGCACTGTTAGTGAAAGCCAATGCCCTCGGCACATCAGCTAAGGGAAGCGAACCCTAGCAGACCGAACAAGTAGGTCGAGCAGGAAATTGCACATGGAGTCCGCTTTCTGAATTGAAAAGAACTGACAGTAGAATCAAAATGACTTGTCTCGAAGTTCGGAGGTCTCGTAAGCACAATATGTGTTGACTGACGAAACAATTCGTCTTGCTCACTTTTTGTAAATCGGACCTTTCATGGGGTCGTTCATACATGTTACTTGGATACGTTTGCCTACAACAACTAATGCGGTTTTGTTCGGGACCAACCTGATCTTGACTAAGAACTAAGCACCGAAGAGACTCAACGGAAATATTCTCCTCCGCTCCAAGCACCCACTGGATTCTCACATCATCCACCTGATTGACCTCAAGACGCTCCACCGACAGTATATTTCATGGATTGCAAAGACGCTGTCAAGGTTCGTAATGTTCCGGTTGCCCCTCCTTAGTTGCGAAACCTATCCCAGACGGACAAGGCCGGCGAGCCCCACCCATAACATTGATGTCTTTTGATGTCTCTCCCATACAAGTACTCATTGGCAGAATAGTCATAAATATATCGCAATCTTCAACAGCGAGCAGCCTTCATGATCCTGAATTGAACTTCGGTATGGCACTGATGACGTTATGTCAAGGGCAAGCACTCGCCTCGGAATCGTGACCCACTCAGGGTTCACTAACTAGTTAGTGAATTAGTTTCAGTTATTAAGGGTTATTGAAAGCATCTCATTGACTCACAGCACACAACCATCGTTGATTCCTGGCCCTAAGCTGGATCATCGGCTAAAAATAAAACTAGAGACAGCTATTCCGTGTTCCCACTATCCACCAATTTTCCATTGGACCAGTCGTCTGTATATGGGTTTCTCGAATCCTTCGAGAACCGGGCCAGACGATACAAGCCTACAGAGAACCGTGACGGAGGCGAAACTGAGCTGCGGGTCTGCCTTTTCCGTGGAGATACAAAATACAGGCCAGATACACGATTAGTACGGTCTCTTGCAAAGCCGGTTGTTTCCGCTTCGCAGATTCTCACTCCAATCCAGCTTACCGTGGTCAAACTCTCAAGCGAACGACCCCAGACAGGCCCTAGGTGGGACGATTCCCGATCCAGCATATGCTGCCACTCCAATAAGAACAAAACTCACCCGGCGTCGCCGGCCGCCCTTGCCGTTATCAGATTGGGCTCCGGTTTGCCCTGTGCTACTACTGCAGCCATCGGTGCGTACCACAAAGACACTCCCTGTCACTGGATGCTGCGTATGCAGGTAGCCTGACCTTCCTGCGCCGGTGAATGCATAGCCTTCAAGTGCTACTTTAGCGTAAGGAACTGCCTCGCGACACGTGTCACTCCCATTTATGTCTATAATTTCCCTTTGAGCGCAAGCCGTTGTTTGCTAGAGCTACGGGGTTTGATTGGGGGCAGTAAGCCGAAGTGCTTGCGTGGCGTATCAAATAGAGACGTTTTCTGCCTTGCTATGTCCGTTCTCGCTTTGTATCACGGCAGTTTGACTCCAATTTACATTGGGATTTTGTGCCTCTTTGACAAGTGTCGCGCCACTTGTGAAGGCGTATTTTTTATTTGTGTCCCTTTCACGCTCAACGGCAATGCTTCCCGGGACCGGTTTGATTGCAAGGCTGTTCATTTGCCGCGAATCTCCACTTGAATTAACGATACGTTATACGGATTCACAGGGCCTCAATCTATACGAAACTTGAATATGGAAGCATATATATGCCGCTTCTTGAGAGATAGCCAATGTGAAAAAGGGCTGGATATCACCAGCTAAGATGATGCCAGAAACTCTATATCTCACGTTGAGGCGCACCTACAAGGCTACGAGCAACAGAATAACGCCCGCTAGAACCACGCAACAATCAGTCGCGCTGATCGAAAATGTGTGAGGCATACGCTATCAGTAGGCCTGGTAACACAAGCCACTGGCAACCAATTCTGTCGCAAATCAGATCGGCGAGAAATAGTAGCAAAATCAACTGGCTAATCGCCTGATGGTGATACAGACACTTGACACCCATAGAGGGCCATGGAACATGCCATGGGGTGTGAGCACGAATCGAACGAGGTTCATGAAAAGTGCTTGGTGGGATCATTGCTTATTGCAGGCCTTATAGACGACATCGGTCTATCCGGCGCGAAAGTTAGTTCATGACGATGGACACGAAATGTTTTCGTAGATAGCGGAATCACACGGCTCATCGGAGGACCCCCATGACCCAAACCTATCCTAAACCGAGTCAACAATCTGACGCCATACGGCTTATTGTTGTCCGTATCTCCTTGTCGGATTATTTCAATGGACTAATCGGATGGAAAGAGTTTCGAGTCTTGACACGTCAGAGACCCGTGTCGGAAGTGCTCGGTCTCGGGAGGACGGCCGTGCGCTGGATCTTGAATCTCGTTTATATGCCGTGTTTTAATTTGAGGCTCTAGGCACCATGTGGAGCTTGTATGCGTCGAGCGACTGAGAGACCTGATTTGAGATAGCGGATGGAGCGCACTTGCAGCATGTGTGCTGTGTGCTGTGTGCAATTTCCTGGTTTTCGGACAAGATATAGTTAGCCTGAGCGGTAGTCGGAACTGGTCATTGGTTCAGTCACGGCGGCGAAGGGCCAATAGACAGTTTTTGTATCGATGGGTAAACCCTCATCTCTTCGAATCAGAAGGCATATTGTTTCAAGCTGTTACTCATAGCTTCAAGATGGTCAATAGTGGGCGTAGACTGGCAACAAGTCAAGAACGGCGCCTTGGGCAACCACGAGTGCAGCAAAAGTCACCTGCTCTTTCCCCAACTAACTGAACTCGCCAACTCATTCCATCCCACTTGCACTCCCCCTCCTTCTTCCCAACTTCCACCTCCATCCATCAATCACATTCAACAAGATAGACGGACAGCCACTTAGTCACATAGATCTACATCCTCAAGTCCGTGTACAATAGACACCTGACCAAGATCGACTATGGACCTTTCGAAAGCGGTCGATCGTGCCTTCACTCAATCCCTCCCTAAGATCGAGGCAAGTACATACCCCATGCAAACACGTTTCAATCGAATAGAACGACTCTCCAGCACTAGGGAAGAAACAGAATCAAGGTTGATCACTAATGTGTGTTGTCCCACAGCTCCATGCCCACCTCAGCGGCAGTATCAGCCGCCAATGTCTCCATGAGATCTGGCTCAAGAAGAAGGCCCAGGACCCTGACTTCAACATAGAAGATCCATGGACAACCATGCCGCCTGGGAAGGTTGATTATTCCCTGCAAACGTGGGTAGTCCCTCCACTCTCATACATGCATTGAAGACGCTCCCCACCAACCTTTAATTTCCAGATTTTTCCAGTCCTTCAACAAATCAATCTACAATCTGGTCAATGATCTTGCCAGCCTCACCTACGCCACCCATTCCGTGCTAACCGACTTCCAAAACGACGGCGTAACTTACCTTGAACTCCGCACCATTCCCCGTGCATCCCCCTCCTCCTTCACCCGGGAGGAATACCTTACTACCGTTCTTGATGCAATCTCGGATTTTCAGACCAACCAATCCCCCACTTCCCCAAAGATGTCTGTATATCTGATTCTAGCTTTGGACAGGGGCCATCACACTACTGCTGAGGCCCTGGAAATTGTAGACTTGGCACTAGCCCACCGCGCCCGCGGCATCGTGGGCATCGATGTCTGCGGCAACCCAACCAAGGGTGATGTTTCAGTGCTGCGGGAGGCGTTTGCGAAAGCCAAAGCTAACAAACTAGGCGTGACCGTGCATTTCGCCGAAATGAGGGAGGCGGCAACTCCTGGAGAATTGGAGACACTCTTGGAGTTTCAGCCGGACCGGCTGGGCCATGTGATTCATGTGCCTGAAGAGCTGAAACGGGAGATTGCAAGGAGGCAGTTGGGACTTGAATTGTGCATGTCGTGTAATGTGCACGCAAAAATGTTTGATGGCGGCTTTTTGGATCATCATTTCGGGTATTGGAGACATCAGAATTGCCCGATTGTGCTTTGCGTGAGTCTCTGCTACTATCATTTTTCCTTATCGCCCTCATTCTCTTACACGAACCGCCAACTGACACTGGTGCAGACCGACGATGTAGGGTTTTTCTGCAGTCCCGTATCGAATGAGTATTTGTTAGCTGCAGAGCACTTTCAGCTCACGCGGACCGATGTGCTGGGCATCTGCAGAAAATCCTACGATGCGATCTTCGGAGGCGAAAAGGAGAAAGACCGTCTTACACGCCTACTATCTGACTTCGAGGCACATTACAGCACATAGCCGCTGATCGAAATTATTAATCTTCATTCATGTACACAAAGCTTCCCTGGAAAAGGGAGTATACCAGCAAGAAACAATATACAGATATAAGCAAGTCCACCCTCATCATCAGCTCTGCCATCTGAACTTGCCTTCCTTTAGCGTCTTGACCACTCCCAGGGGCATAGACTCCCTATTCACAGCTGCTAAATTTCCGTAAGTCTTTACCATCTCTTCCTGATACAACTCTGCCGTCCACTGCCAATATGCTGACATGCTATACCACAAATCCGAGATCGCGTTGCGACCATTAGTATCCTTGGTAACGCTCGCGTCCAGAGACATCTGGTTTCGGTGCAGTTCTGGCGTCAGGTTGATGCTGATCTCCTTGGGCACACGGATCAACTCCGTGTATGCCTCCAAAAGTGGACGGCTATAAGTTTCTGAGTACCGGGTGTATTCCTCCAGCGTCATGTCAGCCACGTCATCGTCCAGTTCAGTTCCCAGAGAAGTAGATTGCTCAGCAGAAGTCCCTTCGTCAAATCGCCGCTTGCAATCATGGTACTCGACTTCATATTGCATGAAGGCCTTATGCAGCCGACCCTTAGGCGTTGCTTTGATGTTCTCGCGCATAGCGAGGAAAGGAATATAAGGATTCAGGAGCTCCAGCCCACCGAATTCTACAGGAAAGTAGAAAAACCCTTCTGGGAGGTCCTTAACACCAAATCGTTCTGCGATCACTTGGCGCAGGTGATCGGTCACCCCGCTGGAGGTTCCGGGAAATAAAGTTCGTTCAATACGACTCAGTGTGGATATGGCCATATCTATATGGCTTCTCCCAAAGCACATGGCTGGTTTCGCAAAGTTGTTAGCGAAGAACCGTCCAAAGTAACTGTTCCATGCCTGGACCCATGAGAAGACGCTCTTGCAGGATGAGAGCTGGCGCTGTAGCTCCGCAATGTGGCTGTCAACCTGTTCTTGATCAATGACAAAACGACCTTCTGAAGGATCCAGCTTCAGGAATCCCCAACGAATATCTCCTTCAGGCAGAGGGTCTGACGGTTCCTTTTCCTGAGAGTCAGTTGGCTGCCCATGATGGTCTGCCGCACCTTTGCCCTTCAGGCGCACTGTTCCCGTTTTTTCCTCGTTTATCTTTAAGCCCATGACCTTGGTAAATTCTTCCATTGTGGTCCAGGCTTTGACACAAGTCTCTTCGTGACCCCAGAACCAAAAGTCATCATGCAGCCGATATAGATAAGCCCCGTCTGTGCTTTGGTTAACCGCAAAGTCCATGCAGAACAAGACGGCCTCCCCAAAACAAGTGGAAAGCGCATGGCTCATGGGTATCCCTCGGCTCCGAGTTCGCTTGGAGGCACCTGATCCGTCTTGTGCAAAAGTTACCGGAGTTCTTAGGAACTTGTGGAAAATGTCCAGCCAGATTCGTGGGACACCGAAGTACCTCAATACCACCAGTATGGTGGTGTGCGAGAGAGAGGGTCCAAACCATTTGAAATCAGATCTAATAGCGGTGAATTGGCCGTGCAACGAGGTGTATAGGAGTGATTCAGTGATCAGAAGATGTAGCAGTGAGTGCTTCGTTCCCAGTGGGTTCTTTTTTGCGTTATCAGGCTCCGCATCCTCGCCATATGGGTCCATATTCGCGTCCACCGAGGAAGGTAGGAGGCTCATGAAGTAGTCTTGTTTGTACGTTTCCTTTCGGCGATCGTTTACACTCGTTGTACCAAGGCGTTTGGCATTCGTCCCCGTGAATCGAGAACGGCGCGACATTTCGCGCCTTGGGATTCGTTCACGAAGAAACTTCCAAGCTGGTGTGCCAAGAAACGAGTTGAAAGCAAATCGAAATGTCACTGACCAGTTCATCCCCAGGTATTCGAACATGAGGCTATCCAGCAGATCTTCGTCCATGTATACCCGGTATTTGCCATTCAGCTGGCGACGCATCTCCACTGGGATACCCTCTGCAGGCCAGCTCCAGTTGTCAAGAGAAGCAAGGCGCATATTGAGAACATCTACCACCTCCTGGGCGACTGCCGGGTTGCGCATGAACTCCTTCAGAACAG